GGCATAATCTCACTGTTTGGGCCTTAATGTTGACGAATGACCAAGCCTTTCATTATGCTTGCTTTTTGTCATCTTTCTATCTTATGGTTACTTTACAGCTAATTGTGGATATCACGTTCTTCTTGATAGTAAGCCAATAAACCGTCTTGCTACAACTCAGCTTTCTAGAAAACAGGTGAGCGGATTCAATACCTCTTTTCTTTTACAAATATACATCGTCATGAGATAATTTATTATGCCATATTATGATGGATGAAATTCTTTTCCCAACTGCTTCCTGACTTTAACGAAGGAACGCGGTCCAGCACTTGATGACCGCCTCCATGTTTCATCGTGTCGCGCTGTGGGGCACTGGAAACAAATCATTAGTAACCATTTGCCAATTGAGCTTATCCTAAGAAAAGAAAGGTGAGCATTTAACCAAGCCAGTTGCCGTATTATAGAGACCTCTTCTGAAAGAAAGCGCCTGAGAAATATTGGTAGCTCCTACCTCACAAGGAAAGGATGGTTGGTCGAAGTGGCCATTCGAAATGAGACGTATACTGCCCGATGGGCCCTTGGACGCTGATTACAAATCTGCCCTCCATATCTGCTAAACGATTTCCTGGACAAAGTTATGCAGGATTTTTGACCAGGTCACACCCATTTCCAGCATGTATATGAGGTGCTCCAAATTGCCCAAATTGGCTGGAATCTGAAACTAGAGGTGCTTCAGTGCCCTGGAAATCAACACTGCAGTCATATTTCGTGAAAACGTCTTGTACGCATTCTGGAGGGGCAGGGTGTGCAGGAACCTGCAACGTCCTTGGCAAGCGTTTTACGCCGAACGAGTGTGATATTCGTGCTCTGGGGCTCAAATTAGCCCTAGAGACAAGTTTTCAACCAAATTTGAGATTTCGACCTATTTTCGATACAGTGGGGTAACCATAGGCAGCCAATTCCTAAAATTGCTGCGCACATCGCCGATTCAAATCTCTGTGAGCAGTGGAGGTTCCTCGCTAAATCTTAGTCCTTGTTGGTTACTGACGGTCCTGATAACAACCACGACATCCACTTTTGGCTTCCATGCCATCTGGAATCAGTTTGGCCTCACAACACGACGGAACGAATAATGCCGCCGAAACCAACAATCAGGAGTTCCCACTAGGAGTGTTCCAGAATGGCTCTATCACATCAGAAATAAAATTTTTTGGTGGAATCAGGTCTCCGCCTCGCAGAAGTGCTTTCGGGATGTGCAGGAGGCATTTTTGAGAAAATGCAAAAGGGCAAATCACGGAGGGGTTCGAACCTATCACCTCGCATACTTGAGTGCGGCACAATACCCACTAGCCCACCGGTGCACTTGGTTTGACGATTCACGTCTCATTTGTGTTACCAAGCTCAATTGTGCTCCGTACAACAACCTCCTGCATATCTCTTCTCAGAGAATCGTTTAGCAGATATGGAAAGCAGATTTGAAATCAGCGTCCGAAGACGCATCAGTGTGTATGCATCTTGTCTTAAATGGCCACTTCGACCAACCATCCTTTCCTTGTCAGAGCTATTCACACATTGCCTTAATACAGTCTGGTTCGCTGTGCGGGTGAGGCGGGGTGTGCGATGTATGAGCTTTGTTGTGGGCGCGCCCGCTGTCCACCAGTTGTTGGAACGGGTAATCAACAACAGCGTGGAATACAACTGATACGAAGAAGATGAACTGCTCTTTCAACTTGCAGGAAGAAAAAAAAATAGGATAAACTGCTGAGGTTGGGCTTGCTCTTTACCATTCGTTTGAACGGTAAGGTAACAACAACTGCTGGAAAGCGCCAGTCACGAACGAAAAGACACAGTTTTGCCGCTTGCCGAATGAAAAACAGATGCAAGTGGGCAGGTACCGTGCCAAACCCGTCTCAAACGGACGCCCCTATCATCTGCAGCAAACAACACGTACTCATCGGAGTAAAGATGAGAGTATCAAGGTTGAAACTCTGCAAAGTTACATAGTGTGAAACGCAGACTATCACTCACGTTCTCTATCGGAAACTAAAATAAAAGAAAACATTTCTGAAGCGTCCTCAGGCCAAAAAGTAACCTAGGGAAAAGTACGGAAGAAATTCATATATTGAATGAAATAACTGGAACGGAATCCTACCTTGCACATCTCGTATTCTTCTGATGGGCATGCCTTGTGGTCCTCCAAATCCACCTTGACCACCGAAGCCGCCTTGGGTGCCTCCTGGACCACCGAAACCACCCTGGCACCTTGCACACCGAAACCGCTGGACCACCGAAGCCGCCTTGGCCGCCTCCTGGACCACCGAAGCCGCCTTGGCCGCCTCTTGGACCACCGAAGCCGCCTTGGCCGCCTCCTGGACCACCGAAGCCGCCTTGGCCGCCTCCTGGACCACCAAAGCCGCCTGGACCGCCAAAGTCGCCTTGCCGCCTCCTGGACGCCGAAAGGCCGCCTTGACCGCCTCCTAACCACCGAAGCCGCCTTGGCCGCCTCCTCGACTACCGCGGAGCCGCCTTGGCCGCCTCCTGGACCACCGAAGCCGCCTTGGCCGCCTCCTGTACCGCCGAAGCCGCCCAGGCCGCCTCCTGGACCAAAGAAGCCACCTGGACCATCGAAGCCGCCTTGGCCGCCTCCTGGACCACCGAAGCCGCCTTGGCCGCCTCCTGGACCACCGAAGCCGCCTTGGCCGCCTCCTGTACCGCCGAAGCCGCCCAGGCCGCCTCCTGGACCAAAGAAGCCACCTGGACCACTCCTGGACAAAAGAAGTCGCCTGGACCGCAACAAAGCCGCCACCAGGACCTCCGAAGCCGCCTGAAATTTGTTAACATTACTGTCTTATTCTTCTTATTCTCTGGTTTGATGTTGCCATCGTGAATAACTGTAATCTTTTCTATGCTGAGCACAAGAAAGAATGGCAGTTGTCCTAAATGTAAACATCCCACAAAAATGCATATTTCTCGGTGTTTGAATGAAGCGTGTTGCATTTATATAGGGAGCGGGGTGCTAGCAGGAAAGGCTTTGCGCAACGCCGCCAACGTTCAGCGGCTTTAGGCTGTCGCCGGGAGTGGCCGAAAAGAAGGCGCTGGCGCGGCACCAAAATCCATGTGTTGTCCACGAACTGACACGCCCCCATCGGCTCTCGTAATAACGAGTTCGAGCAGTCATGCCTTCCTTATCTTCGACATATAGAGCCTACACAGAATAGTCACCTCGGTTCGTGCGTTCGAATTTCGTCGACGGGAGAAGGCATTTTGCACGTCGTTGCTTTCGTAGTTCCGGTTTACAAAGACTTACTCATGAAGCCCTCTGAACTCTTGTGAAGCTGAAGCGAGCTCGTAAGATGTTATGAACCCTGTTGACACGAGTAAGGCCGACTAGATGGGTCGACACCTCGAAGGGAAGCGGCAGGAATACAAAGTGCCATCCGTCCCCCCCCGTCGCCGAACTGCCCGTCAGTTGACGTGTAGCCCAGCGCGACCACTTACTCCTTGGAGAATAGTTTTTCCTGGTTCATTTGCCTGCAAAGCTCTGACGGCAGTTGTCTGGAGGAAAATAAATCAAAGTGCTAGAAATGACGGAAATTCAGGAAGATGGTTGGTGGAATGCAGGTGGGGAGCGGGGGAGGAGGGGGGAGCGTGCTGGAGTGGGAGTTGCTAGCAGACGAGGAAAAGTTAGCGAGGGCGTAACTCAACGACAGGCATGCATAGTGGACAAGAGTACAAAAAGCTTCTCGGCGCTTTCATTTCTCTTATGGACTTCCTCTAGGACCATAAGAACACACGCACTTCTTCACATGAGCAAAAAGTTCATGGAAGTTACACCTGTCCATCTCTGCGAGTGGGTCAGATGCATAGGGGGCTACTATGACCAATTGATTTAATGAATTATTTCCTACTCAATTGGACGAAATGATCTGTTCTGGGACCGTAATCAAATGCAGTGGATTTACTGGGATTCGCCCTGAGACCCTCGTTCGAAAGGGAGGCTTATACTGACGCCTGGCACTTTTCCGCAGAGCGATGATGCGCCCTACTCTGGAAGATTCACTTCTAAATGCTGCGCCAATTTCGGTGCGATTTCCATTCAAGGGTTTCCCCATTGCGTTCATTTCTGAAAATGCACAAATACGCGAAACGGGAGTCTTTCTGCTGTTTACATTCTACTACCCCGAATTTCCACGGCTTTTCTTGACCAGGCTTTGTTCAGGGGATTATTCGTGGTTCTGATTACGAATATTACACCCTTTCATGGCGTCAGTGCCCTGAATGATGCCATATGACGCCAGTCCGTTGCAGGGACTTTTTTTTACAAAATCCATGCAACCTTAGGTTCTTGGGTCTTCCTTGGGTCATGATTGCAGGGTTATTCAGCCGTGATTGAGAATATGACGTTCAT